TGATCTTAAAGGCCCATTGTCCACATCACTTGATGCATTTAAATAAATTAATTTCTTTAAAAAGTGCTCTAAAACTTAAATCTTAAATCTAATATATAAGAATACACTTGTTTAGTTGTTATACACTTGTTTAGTAGTTATTTTAATCTAATACTTTGGGATGTACATACGTGTGTGTATGCAAAGGGCTTTAAATGCTAAGCCGAAATCCTGAACTAGTGGGCCAAGCAATAATTATTTTTTTGAAACGGTCCATCATGATGAATAACCAAACCTTAAAAATAGTCAGGAACTGAGCCCCAAAGAAGTGCAGGCCTAACAAAGTAAGGCCAGCAAATACGGACACAACCCAATGAAAACAACGGACTCTGAAAATAAAAATACGTTTACATCCTACGCGGTGTTCCCAGTTTCCCGCTACTCTACAGCCACCACTGCTCCCTCAGGTGCGCATCTCCAACTTCGATCCTCAAATTATAGTTCGGGAAGGAAGCTTATGGGTGGAATTGATGCTATTTTTATTAAAATCAGTTTTTGATTGTAATTTTTCCTATTTTCTATGGATTTGGATCTACTTTAGATTTAAGAGTTCTCAGTAACCATGTAATATGATATATTATTATCTGAATTCTGTTCTTTGATTGAAACCCATTAATGTGCTTTGGGATTTTGTGAAAATTTTGTAGATTTTATATGATTTCTATATCGGTATCTTTGTGTTTTAGGTGTTGGGTTAATAAGAGTGGGAACTGATTACTATATCTCAGACAAAAAGATGGGATCATGGTTGGGAATTCATCTTTGCTAACATAATAATCTTTTTCGGTTTTTTGTTCCATCTTAGATTGTGGAAAAGGTCTTAGGGTCACATAGATGTTCTAGGCGTTTCTTTATTTTGTAAAATGTAAATTTTTTGTGAGTAATGTTTAATCTCTTGTTAACAGGGTGATAGTGACACTGAGGAGGAGGAAAGTGATTATGAGGATGAGGTTGAAAACCAATTGTTAGCAGGATGATGATTAATGAAGAATTGCATGCAAGTTGGGACTAGCCAACTAGGTGTATTGTCTTCCACGATGCTGAGCACACAAGGCTGTATGGTGTTGATATTCCAATTGACTGAGAAGCTTTTAGTTCTTGCTGAAAGCAATGAGAGGGTAGTAGAAGCAAGTATTGGTGGTGGTGGTGGTGGTGGTGGTGAATTGGATCTTCCCATCTTGCAGAGAGAAAACTAGGATTATGCAGATGGGATAACTTCTACTGGTGGTAGGTGGCAAGACATGTCTTTCGCTCACTAGAGGCAAGGTAGTGGCAGTCGTACAAGATATGGTGCTGGTGGTGGAAAAACATTGGCTTTTGGTCAAGCTACTGGAGGAAGCTATCGGTTCGATCTGTTACGAGTAGCAGGTGGATATCCTGGGAGGATTGCTCCATCGGTCAAAGGTTCCCAGACAGATGCTTCAATCTGCATGGTCAGTCTTAACCATGGGGTGCGTGCTTAAATGATCATAGTAGCAAACCACTAGTGGAGGTGACTAATTTTTAGGGAATTCTGGTTTTGTTTCTAAAATTGTAGTAGACTACCATTGAGATGCAAACAAAAAAATAACAATCAATAGAATTCGATGATAGCAAGCATATACATATCCAAAGCATTTGATGTATCAAATTGGATGAGTAGCAAGAACATCCTTGTGCCCTAGTAGCCACCTCTCCCTTGTTAACAGACTTCTCATGCTTATAACTTGACAGTATGGGATTCGAGTTCCACCCACAATGTTCAAAAAAAAAAAAAAATGGATGAGTAGCACTAGGACAGAAGCCTATTGTACGTTTGTATGCTCCATTCATTTATGTATATGCTCACTAATAAGCAAGGATTGAGGATTGGCAATGGCAATGGCATGCAATGTTATGTAAATCAAAAGGTAAAATGGTAATTTGGTCCTGTTTGGTTTAAATGTTAAGGAACATTCAATAGCTAGTTGATATTCTATATATTTGATAGTTATAGTTATTATAACATGAATAATATCCTAAGGTAATTTTATACAGTTATAAAAATTTCAAACAACCATGTAATTCAACTATAATTACAAGCATCAAAGCTCATCATCTATCATTTACATGCTATAAGTGTAGTGAATCTAAATCAGGTCTTTATTTTTTTTGGTATTAACTTTTTAGTATTCAATAATCATATTAGGTTTTGATTAATTCGAAATTGATTCACATCAGATCTCATATGAGAAGAAACTCACTTGACACCTATTTTTTCATTTATAAGACTTGAATTTGAGATTTTACTGAAAAGAAAACTGAATTCTTTTCACTCGGATCACACAGATCGTTGGTAATTAGGTCTTTATTTGATTGAGAAATTAATTAATTTTAATAATTAAATCAAATAAAATTTATATTTTTTTCTTTTTACTTATAGTAACAAATAATAAGTAAAATGATATCATATTTTTGATTGGGTTACAATTTTTGGAAAAAGGGAGAGTCGAACCAATCCTAAGATTAGAAATGCACTTGATTATCAAGTGTATAGCCATTGAATTACAAAGTTCAGGTATTAATTTAACATGTATTTAAATAACGTTTATAAAAAAAATATTCTCATCCTCAAAAGTGATATTTGCGTTGGAAGTTCTCGAAACTTTTTTTTTTTTTTCATTTTTAAAGGAGGGCAATTACACCATTTGACCTTTTCTTTTTTTTTAATATTTGAGGACAAGGGTTTGATCATTTAAATTTCCAAGTGTTCCTACAACAAGTGGGAGGTGGGTGTGAGAATCTAAAAGTGGATCTGATCACGAATAAATATTAATAAATGTGAAAAAAAATGTAATAAAATATTATTATATAATTTAAATTATATTAAACTATATAATTAAATTATTAAATATCACAAGTCCTGATTTTAAAATTGTTGTACCTATTTGGTATTTCTTATTAGAATGCAGCTACAAAATAAAGGCTCATAATTTTTGGTACAAAGAATAGTGTAATAAATAAATTATCATCTTGAAAAAAAAAATTTCTTAGAAATTATTTAAAAATGGTGAAATGATTTTGACGGTGAAGATCATCCTCTGAAGATAGAAACCAAATCTGACGGTTATAGGCTCGTTAAAGTATTATATTATTCGCTTCGTTTAAAATCAGAGGAAGTATAAACCTCTAATTACGTAGACTACCGCCATAACCGGCGAGAGCAATTTTGAAATGTACGACGCGATGAAATCCGCATCTGCTAGTAACGCTCCGGCGGAGATGAGCGTTAGCCCAGCCACAGTGGAGAGTCGCATCGGCTCCGGCGAACACGAGATGCAGTTTCTCAGCGAATCCATTCTACCCTTGCCTTCTTACGCCGTTAAGGATCTTCTGTTCGTCGGGCTTAGTAACTCTCTTGATTTTTAGGGTTTCGTTCTCATTCGATCTGATTACGTAATTGACATCAAGTTCGGTTCAGTTGTTCTGTGATTTATATTTTTTTAGAAATTTTTATTATGATTAATTTCAGGTATGTGTGAGATGCAGCTTTCGGCTACTCGGAATCGAGCAACAAGTTTATTTTTCTTCCTCATTTTCACCATTGCTACTGTGTTCATTTCTTGAAGAATCAACGTCTCCGGAAGCAGAAGTCGAGTCGGAATTTTGCAGCGTTTGCTTAGGTATATTGCAATTCAAGTGGCGCGATGATAAGGAAACATTAGTGAAAAAGGAGAGCCCCAATGATATGACTGAATTGATTGCTGAGATAGTGAAGCAAGAAGGCCATCAGATCGATAGCTTTTCTCTTGAAGTATCTGTACCACAAGCAATACTGGAGAACGAATCCACGATTTTGTAAGAGCTCTTTGCCTCTTTTTGGCGGTGAATGATTCATTTTCCTGTAGCTTCGATCTCGCTTCATGATTTTGTGTTCTTTTTCCTCTCTCTCGTGGTCACTTATAATGCGTTATGTATAAGCTTGAATTTTGGTTTTTAAGCAGTAAGCAAGCCTGTTAGCACCGTTTTCTGTTAGATGTGTAGCCTGACTATTTGGATCTAAATATGAACATTTTGTAGGTCAGATATGAAAAGGAACTTTGGCGATAATTCACATTCATTTAGTTTCATTTCATGATTTCTATTTCTTATTCATTTCTCTTGCGATTTTTATCCATGTTATGAGCGGGAGTTTTGGTTTTTAATCACTAAGAGAAGCATGCTGGTGTTGTTTTATTTAGTGTTAAAGCATAAAGCGACCTCTTGGATTCTGAATATGAACGATTGAAGAGTTATAATTTCTTTCCATAATTTTGTAGGTCAGATATGAAAAGGAAATATGGATCTGAACTCTGGTTTCAGGAAAAGTCACTTTCAGAACCTAATTCTGTTAAGGATGCCCTAAAATTTGCTATAGTCAAACCACTGGAATCATTATTGGTAAGTATAGATTGCTATAAATGGTTTGATGTCCATTTTTGTTACTGTTCTCTAGTATGATGTCTAGAGACTTAAACTATATCTGGTGTTGTATCTGCTAGGCTTTGGAGAAAAGAGGATCAGATTTAGTTACAAACTAAAAACCATGTATTTTATATATCTAGCATACTGTGTAGAGTTGTCTACCTACATCAGGTATTACATCTGCTAGGCTTTGGAGAAAAGGAGAATCTGATTTGATTATAAACTAAAAATGAACTTTAGATTAGTATAAAACATATGAGTTATTGTGTTCTGCCCTGTAATTCTAAATTAAATAAAAGTTTTGCAGGGCATTAAATCTAGTATAGATTCTTTCCGAATCCGTTTGACATATACATCCACAAAGGTATCAAAAATGGTTCAGAATTCTAGAGGTAGGATCAACGATTGCAAAAGGCAGAAAACAGACACTAACAATGGGTTGCACTCTGTTAATGATGAGTCAATAGTTGCTGGTGCTGAATGTTCAGATCAATCCAATATTGAGACAAATGCTGCTGCTGTGAGGCCTTCTAACAGTTTGCAAGCTTGTGATGCTTCTGAGTGCCTTGGATTCTCCAGAGAGAAGGTTGTCTTTTCTTTTTCACCTTTTTCTCCCCAGTATATGTTCTCTTTATTTGCAAAATGTCACTGTCTGAACTACCTCTCAAGATTCAACATTGTCATTGCAGAATTTGTGGTTCTTGATCACTTATTTTTTATCCTAGTTGAGAGGCAATGTTTATGATAAATAAGAAATGTTAATCCATGTCTTTTTGAAAATGACAGATTCTTTGCATTTGATTATGCGTTTGTTTTTGTTGTGCTTAATTTTATGGAATTTGTTATTTAGCTTTCAAAATTTTGCCTTGTTAGGTCAATGAACCTTGCCACTTGGAATTACAATGCCACAGGACACCTATTTACCTTGGCGGTAGATACCTGAAGGTAAGCGTATACTTCTTCAGAATATATTCTGTGTACTTTTTCAATTATTCTGACCAATGATTAGGGAAGCTTATAATTCTTCTTCTTGCAAAAATAGTGTGTTTTGATTTGGTGCAATTTCAAATTAGTGCAATGCTCTCATGTTGCAGTACTCAAGAAATGTGAGTCAAACATGCTGGATGATTGATGAAGAAAGGATGGGAGAAGCATCTGTTGAGCTACTGGCGACTGCTATGGCTTCCCTTGTTATGCATTACCAAGTCTGTTCCTATCAATACTAACAGTTCAATGTGTTTGGTCCTCTTTTTTGTTTGCTAGGAGATAATGGGTGGCAACATTATTCCTATGTGTAAAGGTGATAATTACAAGTTTCATGCTGCTGGCAGAGAAGATATTGACGTAATGAAGATCTCTTTTATTAATTGCTTGCATAGTTTCAGTGTACATTGTGCTGATCCGCAGAATTGCCTTTTCCATGTTTGAATGTTGGGTTCAGGGTGGCCTTTCCTAGTTTAGATACAAAATGCACACCAAATCCCATCAGAGGCAATTGTAAAAGAAATTGAAACAAGGATAAATGGCTTGGAAAATAAATTAGTAAGTTTAATATCAAGTTATTTAGAGACTGCTTGCATCGGCATCAAATTATTAAAATTAGCTGCATGAATCACATTTGCAGGTCGGAGTTGAAAATCTTGAAGTAGTGGGCAGTGAGGGTTGGACACTGATGTGTGAAGGAGAATCAGAGAAGCAGGTAAGTTTTTAGTTTTTAGCTACAATAATTTTACCTTTTAGGAAAATTTTGTTCCATTTGGACAAATATTTGGAGTTGATTACTGGATCTGGATACACCTTATCTTTTACCATCCCAAATTGCATGTTTCACACAGAAGCAGTATGCTGCACTAGTGTGGATTTCTCGTCTACTTGACGACAAAGATTTGAAAACTATATCTTTGCTCAGGGACATGGGGAGTTGTTCAGTGTGTTTCATTATTATACTTTACAAATATAGTGGGGAAATTATGGTTTAGCTCCAATTGCAAACCTTCTTAGAAATGCAATCACTTGCTTCCTTTATTCTTGTGCAGAAAATTATGCAACAGACTCCAATAAGAGTGCTCCATCGTCAAAGTCTGTTGGAGCGGGAAAAACTTATAAATTGGTCAGAGGCTTTCCATTTATATTGCACAGCACTGTCATTTGGTTCATGTCATGTCTAGTTTCAAAACACCCGAAACATTTCCATTTTCTTTTCTTTTTCTTGAATCTTGTTTAGGATGAAAATTGAGAGGATTGCTGGAAGCTCTCAATATTTTCTACTGTACCTCTGCACTCAGGTAATACATTTCATCATCTCCTAAAACCACATAACGGGATGCATTCAATTTTATAATCCTGATGGATATAATTCAAAGTAATTGGTTTCTATACCCTGGTATAGGTCTTTGGCTGGTTTAAACATTATTCATATGGAGTATTCATCTAATTTGAAATATTTCAAATGCAGGCAGGCACATATATCAAGGAATTTGTTCATGGGGATCTCGGGCGGAGTCACCCAAGGTTTAGAACTAACCGTCCTTTATGGTTATGCTGTCCATCGTAGCGATTCTTCTGATGTTTGAAAAGCTTTGGTCATCATTTCATTATTTTTGTCAAAAAAACTGTTTTAGTCAAGACCGTAAAACAATAATCCTTAAATGAAGGATGGGGATCCTTAATATTGGGTTTTCCCCTCATTTAAAGATTCTTATTTTACAATTCAGACTACAAAACAACTTATCCTATTTTTATTTATATTTTTATTCCATTCCTTTGCAGCGTTGGATCAATCCTTGGATGCAGAGCAGAGATACTGCAACTTGATGTTACAGATGTCAAAATGGACTGTTTTCTAACTGGGTGAGGCAATGCGCATTCCAATTTAGTTTTTCATGTATCTGAACCGTAGTTTTGTGTTTTCATCTTAATGAATTACTTAACTGCAATTTTGCGGTAAAGCCGGGTTTGTCCACAAAGGATGCCAATATATCCACCCTTTTGGTGTTTCTTGAATAGTTTGGAAGATGGCGAGTTGGTTGTCATTGTTTAATAATTCATCTTTTAAAAAGCATAATTATGAAAGTTTGTTAACTTTTCAAATTGGTTATCGAGTTTCAATTCAATCTAAACTTGAATTTCAAAATTAAGCTATAGTTTGTTTATAAACTAGCATAGGGGCTGAATTTGAACTTGAAAATATACTGTAGACTTCTCGATCCAGTCCAGGATCCCCAATTCATAGAGAATAATTAAAGTCCCTACAAGAATTTATTTTGCTTGACAATGCCCTTAAAAAATCTCAACTGTCTAACTTAAACTGCGAAGAAAACCTAAAATGCTGTTGATCAGGAATTTAGGCGGATTGTGAACAGAAAATTCTTGTGATGGGCCCTCTAGAGTGGAAAGTCTAAATAAAATAAAGATAAAAAAAATAATTTCGGTAACTGGAAGTGCTGACTTCCAGCAAACTGCGTGTGACCATGGATCGGTCCATCAGAACTCAAAACAGCTATTCGATCCAAGTTGCGTTTAATGCCATGGCCATGAAACCATATCGATCCGCAGCTTCATCAATCTGCGGCAAATAACCAAAAGACAAGAATGTCGAAAATCAAAGAAACTATCAATACAATAGCTATCCTTAGTAATACCAATCCATGTTAATCTTTCAGCAATGGGATGCTATCTTTTACCCCTTTTATTTTAAAATAATTGATGTTTTTTTTATTTAGAATTCATTTTAAAATAATAATCATTCCATATTTTAAGGATGATATATTTTTTTCTTACTTTAACTTTATTGTTTCTTGATTTTAATTATCCAACTTATCACAAAAAAATCTCTTATACATTTATAACTTTTTTTAAAGAGTAATCTAAATAAAAATAAAAATTATCCCAAGTCTTTAATTTGAAGATAAAATGGAAAAAATGTCTATTATTCTAGGAAGGAAGGAATATATTATACATTAAGAAAAGATTAAATATGCCCTTTATGCCTACCAAGCACTAGAAAATGTGCTCATCAAAAAAAAAAAAAGAACAGAAAATGCAAACAATTTTTTGGTTAAAACCTCATTTTGGTCCTTGAACTATTGTACGGACCCT